AAATATTACACACGTTCGGATTTTGTATATAAATAAAAAATACTTGTAAAGAAAAAAAGCTCAAACATTATTCAACAACTTCAGTTCTATTTTTCGCATGTTTGTCACTTCACATTTTACGTATTTTACATAAAAAAAATGTGTCAAAATTCAGAACAATGCAATCATCTTTAAGCAGTGCCGAGTAGTCACCTTTGGAAGTAACAATATGCAACTACAACTATACATCACAAACTATTTGATAAAATTGATTTTTCACAAGCGCGTGTTATCCTACTCCCTTTCTCAACAACGTTGCGAGTACTTGTGACGATCATGCGCAAATTTTCTACGGTCACCGTAATCGATTAGATGTATTCAGTTGCTCGCGCGCCTTCCACGGGGTAGTGTGGAAAAAATTGCAATGTGGCCTAATGTGCATTATAAGAAAGACGTAATCGATATATTAATGTGGAACCGATGGTTACTGCGAGTTCTCGGAGTTTGGCCACTGGTATACCCGGACACCACAAGAATCGAAAAGATTTTGGCAATATTTTCGTTCGCATTGTGCTGGACTGTACTCTCCTTATTTTTAATACTCACGAGCATGTACACCTTTTCGGACCGAAGTATTATGAGCGAAAAAATGAAGATGCTAGGTCCACTAGGTTACGTGTTCTTTTCAATGCTGAAGTATTTCTTCCTCGTCGTACGTCACAAGAGCATTCGACAATGCATTAAAATTCTCAGCGCCGATTGGTGCATGGTTAAAGAGGAATGTCACCGGAAAATCATGGTTAGAGATGCGGAGAAGGGACATTTGCTGTCCAAGTTTTGCATCGTGTTCATGTACTGTGGAGGTTTATCCTACAACACCGTGATGCCGTTCCTGTCGCAAGCACCTGAACATGAGCAGAACGTCACCGTCCGACCAATGGCTTATCTCGGTTTCGATATCTTATTCAATTTGCAATTAATGCCCGTTTACGTGTTCGCTTTTCTCCTACAATGTTTCACCGGCGTCGTCATGTTCAACATTACTACATCAGTGTGCTGCTTGGCGGCTATGTTCGTGGCTCACGCATGCGGCCAGATCAACATCGTGATAAGTCGTGTAAAGAACCTTGTCAAGAGCGAGCAAAATAATAATGTGAAGTTTGAACAAGGCATAGCGATTATTATGCAGCATCATGTGCGAGCGTTGAGGTGAGTACTCTACTACCTGTTGCTCTTCTTACTACATGACGAATTACTTACTATATTTTGATAATAAAAAGTATATACATAAGAATATATATTTTGCCGTTTATGAAAAATATTAAGCACACAGAAATCTGTTCAAAATATTTTTAGTCGATAAAAGTTTACGTCTGCTTTTAGTTTGTTGTATGTAGCAAAAAACTAGATTAAAAGATTTTGCAGATTTTCAGCAAACATCGAGGATACTTTGCGCGAAATATGTTTGGTCGAATTGGTGGGAACGACATTGATAATGTGTTTGGTAGAATATTCCTTGATGATGGTAATATCATAATTTCATATGTTCCAAACGCAGAGATTTTTAATATTATTTATCAATATTAATATTAATATATTTTCCGACCATAATATATAAAACAATACTATGTGTCATATTTACAGGAATGGAACAATAGCGATAGCATAGCAATCTTCACATACTTTTTTCTATTTATTTCATTTGTCTTCAATATTTTTATATTTTGTTATATCAGCGAATTATTAACAGAGCAGGTGCTTGTATTTAAATTTTATATATTATTAAATTGAATTAATTACGATAAACATAGATTATAACAACCAAAGTGCGGATGTCAAAGCGCATTTTATTATTAATCAGTACAAAGTAGTGATACCGATAAAAAATTACCGGAGAAATTTTCGATATAGCCGACATCCGTGCTTTGGTTCTTATAGCCTTTTTTCTGTTAATTTATTTTTGCTGTTATATAATAACACGTTATGCTATTAATTATGATAATTTCGCTAAATTTTAGTTGATTTTAAACATTTAAATGATATATTGATATATGTGCTGATGATTATGAAAGTGAAGCGCTCATATATTTTTGATATCTCAAATGACTTATTGTTAGATTGTTTTGAAAATTAATGATAAATCTTAAAAATTACTTAGAACAAAAAATATCAAATTTTATTCAGAAACAAATTAAAGATAAGCATATCTACAATATTTACACTTTATAGTAACGCGCAACGCGAATTAATCAATTAGAACACAGAAAAAAGGCCTCAAAAGTAAATAACATACCTCTTTTAAGAACAATTATGTGAATACATTTTCAACAATATTCTAGTTTTCTTATTCTCCAATAGCAGAATTTCCAATTCTAAAATCTCAAGAGCTTCAAAATATTCATTATATCATAAAATAGAAATTTGCCAGAGAGCGAGTGATTTAGACCACTGTCAAAATAAACATGAACTAAATTCTGTTTAACAATACAATTACCAATGCCATTAAACAGTTCAATTTTCAACTATTTTTCAAAAATAGCTCCACATTATTATAATGTGGATGTATCTAATACAGAATATAATAATATAATACATTCAATTTCTGAAGGTTTTTTATTTATTGTCAGTCTGCTTTCATAATTACTGGCACGTATAATTTGCTATCTGCAATTATATGAATATAAATTGAATATCTAGTGTAGCAAAGTCGGACATACTACGTATAAAATCGAATGGTACAAATTGCCGGGAAAGACAGCTCTTGATCTTATGTTGATGATTACTATGTCTCGTTATCCAATACAAATTACCGCTGGGAAATTAATAAGTCTCTCTTTTGCTAATTTTGGCAACGTAAGTACAATTTATCATTGAGTTTATAATATAAAGTTATATAGAATGTAGCTTATGTAAAGAGTTACAATATATAAAAGCGTAATTAACACATTCTAGACAGCGAATAGTAAAATTCAAATAAGTATAAAAATTTATATCCAACACTCAGATAGTAATAAAAATATTCCTTGTACCGCACTTTATAGGTTTTAAAAACTTCGCTTGCATATATGAACTTACTTCGAACTGCCATTTAATATATGCGAAATTATATATAGTCGTTCACACTGTCTCTAATCAAAAAACATTTACGATA